TTTTAAAACATAAAGTATTTGAAAATGTGAATAACATGTATTTTTTCAAAATAAATACAAATAATGCATTTTGTTAAACTATCACTATCAAAGAAATTCTATTATTTCCCCAAATGTTGGCCTATATATATAAATTTGGTTCCCTTTGAACGTGACATAATTCCCAAAAGTCCAGGCCCTACCAATTAAATTATATACCACTCTAATTACCTCTATTATCAACTCAATAAAACTATATATTAAGTGACTATCGTTTTCAAATTAGTTAAAAATCATGAAATTAATCTATGTAATTTAACTAATTAAATGATGCCAAATAATTAAATTCAAATCAAATGTGTAGCTTACAGCATTAAGTAATTATTTGACCTTTTCATGTAATCAGAGACTGTAAGTAATTAATTATCGACAATTCCCCATGCAAACAGAAAGATTTTAATTAATTAAGTTGTTGAAAACTGAAAAAGAACAGAAAAACAAAAACGAAACTGGTAAATTCTTTGACCACATTTGCAAATTCATGTTCCATTTATATATTTCTGTGTGATATTATTTTTATATTTATAAAAAAAATGAGTATTTTAAAAAAAAATGATCTAGTTTGACTTGACATAAAATTTTAAAAATAAAGAGGATTTTTTTTTTAATTTTGTGCTCTTAAAATAAAGTTATGTCAAATGTATAAAGATGTTTATAATCTTATGGATTAAACATGTCATGTGAAAACTAAAATTTTGAAGTGTAGTCAAAAGAAGAAAAATGATTTAAAAAAAATAAAAAACCAGATTATAAAGAAAAGTAAGTCATTCATTTTCAAAAGGTTGGTTTAATACATTTCTGTATTTGATGATAATGCGGTGCTAGAAACACTCCAATAATATATATTCCGTCTGTTCATATTAACTGATTTGTTAAAAAATTTTCATGTTTAAAATAATTGAATTATTTGAAACTTTTTTCATATTTGTCCTTTTCTTTATTGAAATTTTATTTTCTATGAGATGAATTACATCTTATAGAGTTATATTTATGTTTCACATAGAACAATAATGGAAATTATAGTTATATGTCCTTAAATATTTTTCTTAATAATTATGTATTGCCTCATAAATTTGCTTAATATGAAATAGAGGGAGTTTATATAATTACCTCATGAATTCGCTTAATATAAAATAGAGGGACAAGTATTATTGAACAGAAAGGAAGTATATAATAATAATTGTGAGATCAAAAGTGCTATTGTTGTTTTTTATTTATCATCCAATAAATTTGTCATCTAATATTAAATTAAACTAAGGAAAGTGTTAAATGGCAAAAAAATTTGGTCAGAAAATTAAAAAAACTATAATATTTTTTTTATTTTTAAATAAACTGATATTTTTTCCATTTTTTAGTTAATATGTATTAAAGTTAAAAGGATAAAAATATTTTAAATAATAAAATAACATAAATAAAATATCATTCTAGCCAAATTCTGACCAAATTTTCTGATAAAAAAATCCTTAAACTAAACTAAAAATATGAATTTTGGACTAACATGAACAATAAATGTATAGTATAGCATTAATGAAAGAGTTTGGACTTTAGGCGAGGGCACTTCAATCGGCATGAAAGACAAGTGTGATAATGGAGATGAATACGTTGAAAATGACATGAGTTCAAATAATGTACTTCAAAATATTTTGAGTTGAGGCCCACAATTCTTTTTGTTTTCAATTTGTATATTTGATGATATTACCTCAACAATTCTTTTTGTTTTCAATTTGTATAATTGATGATATTTGTATTGAAATCTAATTAATTTTTTGAATTTATCTATAACAGAATTTACTCAATTTTAAAATCGTCTCTAATTAAAGATAAAAAAATCATATTGCAAATGAACCTACCATTAGGGTAAAGGGTCACGAACACACAATAATCTTACAAAAAAATGTATATATATTGGATATATTCTTATATCAACATTCTTAATTAATGGTTTGAAATTGCACAGATGGACACTCGATGGGTTTCATCTATATTCGATTCCCATTTTAATGTTTTCTCAAATTTTAGTAATATTTTGATATTTTAATAGTTACAACGTACGAGTTTTACCTCAATTATATTTTTACAAGCAATTACTCTCTTTATTCAATTTTTTTGTTTTAATTTTTTTTTTTAATTTTATGCCTTTTATTCTGGTAGATATTGAAATTAAAGATTTAGCAAATTGGGAAAAAAACATTTCTTCCTAAACATATGATAAGAAAAAAAGTTTTATATACATTAACAATCTCTTAAACTTGTTAGTAAATTTAATTAAAATACTAAAATTGCAATTAGTTCCAATTAATCACACCTAAGCATATGATGAAAATTTTCTACTAGAGAGTTTGAATCAATTCTAAAAATCTTCTATACATATTCTCAAACGTCCATTACATAGTTCAGTTAATCACGTACCAATAGCTTCAACTGAAATATACTTGAAATTTGTCACGTATTCATCTGTTTAATTAGAACAAATCATAATTTAAATATCTAAATAAATTTTCGGCTCATGTTACGACAAAGTTTGAGAAAAAATGTAAATGAAAAATGAAATTTGAGTTTGCCAGCTTTTAACCCCAGAAATTTTACTTCCCAACGAAATAAAAATTATCGAGCAGCCCGGGTTATTCGGGAACTTGTTTCAGACATTTTTTCTTTTCTCCACTGCCAAAAGTCATTTATATATTAACTTATAAAATATATATATATATATATATATATATTTT